TAGGGAAGCTTCGTAAACGACCTCCATATCAAAAATTATGTGAAGCACTAAGATATATTTAGTCTGAGGTTGGGCCTTGACCTATATATCGTTTGGGCCTATTAGTTTTTTTACCTTGAATTATAAATAAAAGTAATGGGTATTTTTCAGTCTAATTACCGCAAACACGACGAATTATCTGTGAAAAGGTCGACCTAAGAAATTAACCCGATTCGGGAAATCGGCGTTGTGAAGTCCGACGTTCAAACGGGTCAGTATAAGACATTTCATCACGTGAAACATATGCTATGATAATCTAGGAAAACGCCCTCAGTCGACTTACCTCTACGATTGTAAGTAAAACCCTTCGTACATAAGTAAGTAGCTCAACAGAAGTACGCCTACCTAAGGGTGGTGACTACCCCTTAGGTAGAGGTGAGTTAAACCTCGTGGAGCTTTGTTCTCTCGCAGGAAGCCGTGAGAGGTATAGAGGACATGCACGGGAAGAGTGGTGTCTCCGCTGACTCAGTGCATTACCGTATTCTTGTGTGATACGACCATGAGGTACCACACTTGCCACAAGGTGTGGGACCGTCGTGCCCGACAATGTCGTTGGCTCATTCCATACAACTTGTTTCGATAAACCGATCATTTGACCTCCACCATTAAGGGTCTTTTAATAATTGCATACTCCTTTAGTTTTATTGTAGATCGTGTATGCATCGTACGCTTTTGGCTAGTCTGTCTTCCGTCATTGAGGTTGGCATGCTGGCTTGATTTATTTTTAATCAAATGTTTCCTCGGCCCTTGGGGCCGACATACAATGTTACTAATCTTAACTATCATAACAGGTATTATAATAATGTGAAAGCCTATAAACCATTTTACCGATACACCTCGAACTTAATTGTCAAGGCACTCATCTCAAGGTGTCATGTAAAAGTTCACATACTTTTTACTTCAAACTAGTTCCGTTATGGTAGTCGATGTTATCGCAATATCAAATGGAAAAACATGGACGAACACTCTTATAAGGGTATAAGCCCCGACAACGCAACAAAAATGGTTCTCTCTTTTTTTTGTTCAATATATAAATAAAAGACGTTTCTTCGCATAACGTTTGACAAGATATAATGTATCTTGTTAACATCTGCGTTGGCTTATGAACACCCTAATTTATCTTTATTTATTGCTAAGATTAGAGAGATATATGTTGATAATTTTTTATAAAAGTTTTTCGGGAAGATGTGAAACCACATGTTAAGCTATGGATTGTAATACTAAACGTATGTTAATTATTTATACCAATCAGTCATGTTATCATTCATGAAACCATACAATATGGCATGCAAGTGGAAGGGTTATGTTATGTTTTTTAACGATTGCTTGTTAAAAAAATAAATATAATTTTTCACAAAAAATTTCATCAATTCGGATATCATTTTAGAAAGATTATCATGCCCGGCCGGGCACCTAGGCCCGGGGTCCCCGGGCATGTAAAAAAAACTAATGTTTTTTTGTTTTTCGGCGCTTTACCAGAGAACCTCAAATCCGGGTTCTTTTAATTTTTTAAGAGTTGGTTTTCAAGGGGGGGAGGGCAGGTATAAATTTGTTTTAAAGGGGCTAACGAGATTGAAAGGGAGGTGTCTTAGTGTGATTTTGTTCTTTTCTTTTTTATCTCTGATTCGGTGAGGAATTCGGATGTGACTCTCGGTCAAAATTTGTTTGTATTGCAATTCTACACAACATATCGTTTTTACTGGATTTTTTTATTTTTTATTTTTTTTATTTTTTATGAGGCTGCTCGGAACCCTGCCCGAGGATCATTCCCAACCGAGCACCCGAGCGTGTATCCGGGCACAAGTTGGGTGCCCGAGAGCCCGGAAAAACAACCTAGATGTTATTATCAACTTCCATATTTTAGGCTATGCTACCTGAGTCGCCCGGCATGGGTTGCCCAACCAGGCAACGTGGCTGAACTTTGTACGGGGGGTGATCCGCCCAAAGTACCCTAGTGTTACATCTTCGACGCCACACGGGTCCTACGGACCCGACTTAGGACTAGAGGGACACACCAGGGCCCAAAGGCCCGACCTTGGGGGTACTTCAGGCCTTAAAGGCCTCACCTTGGACCAGACCCGACGGGCAGGCCCAAACCGTTTAGGCCTGGTGGCGCTCTTGAGGCTGCCGCCCGCCGGTTGGGGCTGAACCGTCCATCTGGACGGTTCAGGGCACGGCCAGGCCTCGCAGCATTGAGGCC